ATTTAAAGTTAAGCAGTTAGAACAGACACAAACACGCATAGATGCAATCAAACACACACAAGCTGATAACAAGCCATGGCTCCAGGATCGCATGGGAAGGGCTTTGCCTCGGGTGTCTGTGTTTCGAAATAACACCTAGACAAAAAAAGGGTTGTTTTTTTTTAATAACACACAGACATTGCAGTGTGAATACTAAAGTGAGAGAGGAGTATTGTTGTCTTTGTTCTATGTGAAATGTTTAGAGTTGTTGCTTCTCCTGCAATGTTTACCATCAAAACTTTGATTAGAGACACAGACAAAGATGTGAAACAGTTTGAGAGCAATATCATGATTGACAAGGAGAAAAATGATGGAGCCTTGTTTGTTTGACATCTGATTATGAATCATCGCACTGGTGACTGACAACAGTGTTTCACAGAAACACACAATAGCCGGGGGTTTCTGAAAGCCCAAACCTGCCAGACCCTAACATGAGCGGGGCTGACCTCCCAGTCGTGTTTCCCCTACAGCATGAAACCACTGCCATAAAAAAGGCTGAGAAATGAGAGGGGGTGGAGGAGGGTAAGTGCAGGAGAAGGAGAGAGCAGGTTTGATGTGACAAGTGGCCAGACTGACATCAACCTCTCGCAGGAATGTTAAGTGCTGCGGCTGGTTGAGGCACATCACAGGCTGTGTTTTTGCTAGTGGAAAATTCAAAACAAGATTGGAACGGTGGTCACATCCTGCCTCAACCTTTTATAATATTTATAAGCACAAAAAGATGTTTATGCTGTATTTATGCATGTTCTAATTTCAACCCTTGAACATGACATCAACTGAACTTTTCTTTAAAAATCTGGGACATTGAAAAATGCCATAAACTATGCTAAGAGTAGATGTCAGCTGTCAGATTGCACTTACTTTTAGAGCAATCAGACAGGAATGCAGGCAGGTAGTTCAGCTGCAGGTATGTTGTTCTCATTCTGCTGACCTATTTAAATCGAGTACAACTCTTCACGGGTGGCTCATAAAACAAAATCTAATCTCTTTGGTCAACACTGTGGGGGCGTTCATCAGAGAAGCCCACACTGTGAACAAACGCCGCCTACTACCTGACTGCGAGCTGGTATTTAACTAAAGGATAGAGGAAAAAAGATGGGAACAAACAACATTCCCTGTGATCTATTCTTGTGTAATTAAGGATGCTAATCCATTCACACTGTTTAATCCCGAAAAAAAACTCTGTCAGTGCACCAGTACTGAGGGCACACTTGCCGCTGATACTAGGAAGAGCTGGTCAATTAGTGCGCAGTCAGCAGAGTTAAGCCAAAGCAACCTGATGTGACATCATCACAAGCGTTAAATGTCCTGTTCCATTTCAGTAGATTCCTACAGTGGAAAACTCTTATATCCACCAGGTAGTTGATAATTTTATTTATCTGCTGTTTGGTGAGGAGCGGGTAGTGTACAGTGGCGTTTTGGAGATTTGTTGCTGAAAACAAATGCTTGAATGTTGAGAGCAGTGAGAATAAACCCACACAGTCAGGTTGTAGTCTGTAAACCAAAAGAATGAGCTTAAAGAAGCTAAAATGCTCCAAAGAGCTCAGGGCTACTGCAGAGTTGGGTGATCATTTCTACAAGTGACACCTTTCATGTTAGGTATACAGTTGGTCCAATGTTAATTTACTGTAAAAATATGTCATTTATATTACATATTTGCTATTTGGTTAAATTGGTACTGTACCTGAACATTTTGTATATACCTCTTTAGTCATTAAGAGATTTGTTAAGAATCTGACTTTAATAAAACAGGGCAATTTCTCAACTTGAACTGGATCCAAAAACCCAACAATAATAAACAGCAACCTCTGTGCAGCTTCCTGCCTTGAGTCACAATTTTGTGCTAATGTAAAAAGACTTTGTCCATTTTCACACAAGTACATATGGCCTTAACTAATATACATCCTAAAGCTGAGTGCTTAATGAAGTGACCACAATACTCATGTAAGAGAACTGAAGAAAGAATACATCATGCATACAGACAACAAGATGTTCATTTAGCAGGTCAAACCTTTCAGTAGATA